AATGCGCCGTGGGCAGAAAGGAGATGTAAATGGAATCAGAAGGAACCTAATCCAGACGCATTAAGAGGTATTTATTAGAGACTGACCTAAATTCCATATGCCTTCGGGAGGGAACAGATTAACGTGTTGTTATTGGAAAATAACATACAGTTATTGCGTTATCGCATTTAGGACTGATCTATCGCTGCTTCTTAAAGGGAATGACTTTTGCATCTAAAAGTGCGGATTTAAATGGTAGAGCCCCACAAATTCAAATGTGGTTATCGCTGAACTCGAATAAGCAGGAAAGAGAGTGTGTAAAGTTGAAAGACGAAAGATAACTTTGCCTCGATTTCATTCACTGGACCCAGTTTGTTTTGTTTTCGTCCGAATAATAAGCCATTCACGTTCAACGGATATGGGGAATACTTCAGTTTAAAAGGGAAAGGGGTGTACTTCACTCTGCAAGGGCGTTGGAGTCTATATCAGCAGACGATGGATCGCCCTCAAAAGCCACGGTATACACGGCATTTGCAGCCAAAGAAAATGAATCAGACGTTGTACAGGTCAGGAAAATATGGGGAATACAGAAATATTGATTATCTTATATATGTGGCGGTGGGGCACACGAGAATTCAATTAACCAAAGTTTTGTGATGTTTTTATGATGCAGCTACATCCGAACTGCAAAACATGTGTTCCATTGGGTTACGAGGTCTGATGTTATGACAACAGCTGACACTAACGCTATTTTTGGTTTTTGAGATGCAGGTAGAGATATTTTAAAAGTTACCCCCTTAGTTAAACTTGCGCTCATATCCTTTATGGACGTAATTTACCAGAGCTACGTCAAGTTACATTGAGTCATTTTTTATTATGTAGAGAAGCAAACCCCTCAATTATAAAGACGGTTCAAAATCATGTTCGATGAGATAGAAAAAAAGACAAATGAGTCAGTCAATCACAAATCAAGAAAGAGCAAGGATAGAGAAGGGTGAAGTGGACTGCAAATATCAGCTTTAAGAATTTAGATAACCCATGGACTAATGAGCTCCTTCGAAGGAATGACTTTCCACATTATTTCTTCTTTCTTCAGAATGTCCTCGTCTTCCACCATTCATACCAAATGGATTCGTTGGTGGGAGTGAGTCGGTGGGGGGATCTCAGTACAGTTTCAGTTGTAAGGAAGGATACTCTCTTGTGGGGGCAAACACCCTTCAATGTAGCGATCACGAAACTGGAATGGCTCCGTTCCCACGTGTCTCAAAGGTACGGACGCACGAGAGTTCGATCATTATAAACTCCACCTATGTAGCACTTTCTGTTAACTACATGGTAATCTGAGTACCTAGTGGAGACCTGCCAGAGTTTTTGTCTACAAAAACTCTTTAAGATATTCAGCATAACAAAAAAACTTTAGATATCGGTTAACAGTTCTGTAATAGCGTCCCTTTTTCCTGACCTAAGAATTATTGTGACTGTATCTGATTCTATTTTCAAGCAAAGCAACTTCGAATATGGGAGGAGGGGGTGAATAAAGGACTTGTTGCAGTATATGAATAAATAAGTGCTCAAGTAACGAAAAAGTCAAGGTCAGGAATACCCAGGAATACTATCGATAAGTTATTTGTGTATGGAACTAGGTTTAGGTTTGGTGATACTATTTGCAGGAATGGGTGAGTCACGGGGTGATTCTTCTCTAAATTCATCTAGAAGCGTCAAGTGCTGCTGCAAATTTAATTCAATCATTGTTTCTTCAATGGCCACAGATTGTCCCAACCTTCCGTCGTCCATACCAAATGGAAACTGGTTCCGTAGAGGGCTCCAAGCATCATTTTACTTGCGATGATAGATGTTCATTGGTTAAACAGTATGCTCTACATTGCAATAACACAGGTGCTTGGAATGGCTCTGTGCCTGTGTGACTTATAGGTAGTGTAACAATTAATGTTTGCCTCTGAAATAACGTAAAATTACCTTTGCTGAAAAAAAGTTCTGATATAGCGAATACTGAGGTTTACTAATTACCATCACCCTAATTTTTCAGAAGATATAGAATCCATTTTGTATTAGATTGTCATTGCTGTTAGGTAAGCAACACGAGCTTATAATTAGCAGAACACACATATAAAGTTATTGAATTTATTTATGAAACTTATCGAATACATCTTTGGAAATCTTCACACAGGTTGTCCTAGGCTGCTATCTGAAATAAAAAGTGGCAAAATGAATGCTACACCTCGAGCAACTCTTACGCATCTTTCGTGCTCTCCAAACTTCCCAAGTGCTTCATATCTCGATGAACGCACGCTGACGTATGAACCAATTTTTAAATAAGGTAGGGTAATTTTTAAGTTAAAATTGACATATTTAAATGAATCGAAACAGAAGGAGAGACCAAACACGTCGAGTTTTGTCCCAATAGCGTATGATTTGCAATAGGAGTACAGCAAAGCAAATGGCTGAACTCCGTGAAAATGCACGCTATATATTTTGGTCTGGCGCACTCACTTTTCACGGGCCAAAAATAATATTTTAAATGATAAACAAGAAGAATTGCTCATTGAAATGATCTCTTTTATTTTATATACATTTGTATACCCCCGATGTTATGGTCGTCTGAAGTATGGCAAAATTCAGCGTTCAAACGGAGTACAAAATATGGTGTACTTTAAACGCGTGTGGTTACAAACGAAAGAAAGTTTAGTTAGAGATGAAATATAGTTGGAAAGCTATTCCAAGGGATGAAAAACAACTTATCAAAAAATGAATCCAAGACAATTTTTTGTTGTCTTGAACGAGCGTTGTGAAAATGCACTGAAGGCATGATAGAAATATGCAAATTTGGTAGGTTTTGGCCGATTTCGAACTTTCGTATTTTTGCCAAAATAAAAACTTTCTGGAAATTTTGAATATTATTTTTGAAAACAGTTCACCAAAAGGGTCTTTTGGAGCCAAAAAAAAAGTTGAAGTTTTGCTTCTGTCGCCGGATTCTTGAAAATTATTGACAATCTCTCTTAGGGTGCTATGAAACCCAAATGATATCGAGCAAATTCTGGAACCGTGAAACTTAAACCTGGCACTAAATAAATGACCTTCGTTGTGACAGGAATATCTCACAACGTATGAAATCCACAGCCTATTTCAAGTTGCGGCAGGGCCTTCGGCAGACAAAGACAAAAAACGGTTCCGGCATAAACGGTTTCCTAATTTTTGGGAAAAAAGTTTTATGCAATCTACAAAATCATTCGCTATTTGCTGAGTTATACAAGTTTTTCGGTGATGATTGACGACCTCATGCGACCGAATCAACACACACATGTACATAAAGCATGTTGCAATATTTGCATGCGCGTGATGGGACGCGCGTATGTTTGGCAGGTGAAAGTTTCTCGCAAGCCAATCACATACCCACTTCTGACGTGCATTAAAAACATAGGCATGCTATGCGTGCAAGAGTTATTTTTAGTAGGGTGGGTGGATTACTTGAAACATTGTAAGTGATGTCTACATTCTTACAAAAGGAAAGAAGAGTATTAACGCGGAAAAGAACGAAAATGTCGAATTAAGTCACACACAGGTATTTTGTGGTAGATTGCGTGTGTTGTGCGAATAACTGTAACCAAACATAAACTGTATTGGTGCCACGGATACCTGTTAGTACAAAATGCAGACAGCAGACTGTAGACCGGATACAAAATGTAGACAAGGTACAAAATGCAGACTGAGAATTTGAAGAGTTTTTCCGTCTGGCATGTAATAACATGTCATCTTACAACTTGCGAGCGTCAAGCAATCGCTTTTCCGCGATCAGCTTTCACGATTATTTGCACTATTGTGGAATATTTCTGGCCCATTTCTTGACGATAATCGATCGTAATGTAATTTCAAGCCTTCATATAGTCTTATCACTTTGCGCACGAATTGGTTGGTGTAACGTCTGTACAGATTTATCAAAGTAATAAAAGTAGATGTAGATGTAAATGAGATGTCACTATTGAATATTCAACCCGTGCAACACTCGAGAAACAATTGACAGCTTTGCACGTGGTCCGTGTTATCATCTTTTTAAGTGGTATGTGTTTATTTTGTTGACAAAGATGCGGACCGAGACCAAAACTGTTCCTTCGACTAGATATATTTTCGACGTTAGTAGATCACATCATATTTGCTTGCCTCCGTAAATCATTTATTCCAGATAACATAATCAAATGAACACGCTAACGATGCTATCTGAATTCGTCCTTAGCCAAACACAAACGACTCCACAAGATCACTTTCTCCAGGCATCGAAAACATACACAAAATCGTCCATAGTTAATTTTAATCAGGCATTCATCTAGAGATAGCACCGAGCAAACCAATCCAGAAAAATATAATCGGCACACTCAACAAATCATGAATCTTACAACACAGCTTGCCGTCAAAGAACTGCTCAAATCAAAATGTTTGGTGCAACTCATCAACACCTCAAGCAGTATTTGACTAAAAAATTTTCCACTCACTCTCGTCGTGAAGGAACAATAACCATGATCGCGCTATAGTGCACAAAACTCTATATTCTCTCGTATAACTATCCACCATTTTCACAGCATGTCCAGTAGTATCGCATTTCTCGTAAAGCGCGGTAAAATACACGTTTAAAAACACAGAAAAGCCAACACTTCCCAGTCTAAAAGATGATTCCAATTTACGAACCGCTCTCTCCGAATTCCCCATTACTTCGTTGAAATTTGAACACCTCTCAAACCATAGAACAAAAACGACGCTCTGATTGGTGCGCGATACATACCCTAGTGCGGTGATCTGATTGGTGCGAGATACATACCCTAAACGATTTGATTGGTGCGAGCAACATACCACTTTCTGTACGCTAAAATAAATGTTATTTTTTTTCAATAAAAACTCAAAAACGCCTATTTCATGTCTTGTGATGAAGGCAACCACTCCTTTGCCTAGCTGGATTGGACGTTGAACCAACATCACGGTAACAAGAAAAATTTTCCTCTCGGAACACAATGATGGTTGTCTCTACATCCAAGCTCTTTTTGCTCGCTTTATTTTCGGTGGCTGGAACTGCCAACGGTAAGCTGATCTTTAATCTCTCGAAATTGAGGTGTCATTAGTAATATTGCTGTCAACAATTTATGTCACTTAATTGAGCCATGTCTGCAACGAAAAACGTAACATGGAATTAAACTGGGGAGGAGGGGTTCGAACCGCTTTTCGTGCAAAATTTCTCTTCAAAACATAAGTAAATCAGTGCCTTCCTTTCGCGTGGTTTAAGCTTATTTAAGCTTAAAATGTAGGGAAGTTTTGATTTATTCTGTTCTTAGGGCGACGAGAGAGACCTGATAGAACTTTAACTAAGGCGCAAAGTTTCTTTATTTATTCATTCGATAATCTGTTTTATAACTGCGCCCCAATAGTGCCAAAAGTGGGCTAGTTGCGTAAACGAAGACCTAAGACCCCCTACGAAAACGAAGACCCATTACGAAAACGAAGACTCCCCTACGAAAACGAAGACAAATTACGAAAACGAAGACCCCACACGAAAACGACAAAGGACAAAGATTATGTTCATGAGACACACTACGAAAACAAAGATCCTTACGGAAATCTTGAATTCTGAATTTGACACGTCTGTAATTTATTACGGAATATTTCAACAGTAGAGCCCCATGGAGCCTTCAATGGGACGACTTAAAAAAAAATCTTGCATTCTGAATTTGGCGCGTCTGTAATTTATTATAGGAGAATATATCGAATAAGTATATTCTATCAACTAAAATAGGATAACTGTATTGATCTGATTTTAATTGCATTTCCTTAGCTCTTTTTTTTTTTAACGTAAAGCAAATGTATTAAGCGAATCAAATAATGTGATGACATTTTTACCAGCAGCAAAACACACAGGACAAAGCTTGCATGATAGGCTTATTATTTAATGTTTCCGGAAACTCGTTTGAGTGACATTTCATGAGTAATCCTGTTGATAATTAAGTACCTATGAGAAGCTTTGAAGTGCCGTCTTCAAATTTACGGTGCACGTGGTTTCTTCCACTTGGTGTGCGTGGCTCAAATAACGGCCCAAAAGCTTCCCGTTTTTGTGTGAAGGCAGCTCACTGATGGATCAATTTGCAATGGAATACTGCAGTTTAAGTGGGAGTAGCTTAAGGCTTTGATTAAGGCATTGATCTGTAATCTTTTATCCGCAAGAAAAGTTTTATTGGAATCAATCAGTCGAATTCACCTTTTGGGCTTTAGATTTGATTTAAACAAACCCCGAAAGTTCGGACAATGAGTCCAGCTCGCAGCACGTGTCCAAACTTCGGCTTTGGCATGTTTTATTAGGCAAACGACAGTACATTCTTCCTCGCCGGAAGTTTAATTACCGCCAGTCGATGTTATTGTTATTAATAAACTTAGATCTTGTTGCTTCATTATACACCACCATATGCGTGTAAGGTCTCTTGTTGAACAAGTAACGTTTATATTGAAGTAATAGCAAGGTTTTGTTATAGTTGCCAAGAGCTTTTCCGGTCCCTAAACTTATAAATCGCAAGGAGGAGTAGCGTAACGCTTTGATTAAGGTATTGATTTGTAACTTTTTACCCGCAAGAAAAGTATTACTGAAATCAATCGGTCGAATTGCCATGTTTTATTCAAACAACAGTGTATTTTTCCTCGCCCGAAGTGTAATTACCGCTAGTCGATGTTATTTTCATTAATAAACTTATATCTTGTTGCCTCATTTTATACCACGATATGCATGTCATGTCGCTTCTCTCGTTTTAGCTTTAAAGTAGTCCCATTGAAGGCTCCATGGGGTTCTACTGTTGAAATATGCCGTAATAAATTACAGACGTGTCAAATTCAGAATTCAAGATTTCCGTAAGGACCTTCGTTTTCGTAGTGTGTCTCATGAACATAATCTTTGTCCACAAAGGTAATACCAACCTCTTTTGAACTTGTTTTAGAAATGTGTCTTCGTTTTCGTGATGGGTCTTCGTTTTCGTAGGGGGGTCTTCGTTTTCGTAATGGTCTTCATTTTCGTAGGGGGGGTCTTAGGTCATCGTTTTCGGAGTCTTCGTTTTCGCAACTACCGAAAAATGGTACTTTTACGCCAACAGCATTTACCCATGTCTTGAACATGTTAGTGTCCAGTATTAAAACTCGTTTTCAAAGACATTTTCCTCCTCATAAACTGCTGCATAGATGAGCAACAACCAGCCGAGAAAATGCGAGAAATTTAAATCACTGTTAGGTCACGTTACCTTCAATTATAACCTCTTCGTCGTTTTCAAATATTTTCTTAATGTCCGTGCCTGTTTAGAGATGCTTTTTTAATCACCTTGAACGCGCGCTTACTAACGAGTTTGATTTCTACCTTTACAATGAGAGTGTGAAGGTTTAATTGTTTAAAACCTAAAGGCTCTGTTGAAACAAGTACAAGTCCCTTCCAGAGTGCGACGTGCGCGCGTGAACTTTGGTTGAGGAACGACAAGTGCAGAATAGCTACTCGACTCAACATAATCTTTTTATGTTGTAGGCGAAACATATTGATCACATGCAGGAGCTGATTGATTTACGTGAATCTCATTTGGCAAAGTACTTTTAAGAATCAAGGTTTTGTGATTTAGTCCTCGATCAAGTAATCGGGGTGGTTATGTAACTTCCAAATTATTGACTGTCATTTTACTTAAAATTTTCAAAAAGGCTGGCTAAAAGACTTTTTTTTCGTAGCGGTTTTTTGTCTTACGAAAATGATTAACTTGTAACCACCATGTCAATCACTATCGTACACAGAAAAACTTCGTACGGGATTTGAACCCATGACCTCTGCAATACCGGTGAAGTGCTCTACCAACTGAGCTAACAAGCCAACTGGTCATTATGTTGAATCCAAACAAATAGACCTATTTTGCGCGCTAAAAGACAATTAGCTACTTAAATGGATTTCTGAAAGTAGTTTTCAATATTCTTTCTCACTGGATCAAAGACAAGGTGAATCTTACCCATAGTAATCTTTCTTAATGTTTGGAAGGCATCGCTTGAAAGTTTTCCAAGTTGCATTCCAGATCTGTCATAGAACAAGCTCTTTACCGTTTACTTTGAAGAATTGTCGATTTACTTTTTCACGTTGATCGTTTTATGTGGATAGCATAATGTTGCTGCTTTGGGGAGCTAAGGTTGAAAAGAAAGAAATTCCCCTTGAATTGCTTCATACATGAATCCTTTAAGGAAGGAGCTAGTTTGGTGGCTTAAATTCGAAGACAATTAAAACGTTGAAGTTTGTCGACTCGCTTGACTTTAAGGTTGCTTAATAATAATTGTAATAATAATAATAATAATAATAATAATAATGCAACAATTTCTAAAGCGCCCTATTCTAGAGCTCTAAGGTGCTTTACAGTATAATGTCAAAAGCAGTAACTTAGAAAATAAATCAGAAAAATACTAGAGCAAAACAACAAATGAAAATAGCGCTTAAAAAGATAGGTTTTAAAGGTTACCCTTAAAAGATGTAAGATTTAAACTAAATTTTATATGTTCTGGAAGATCATTCCAAAGTTTAGGGGTACAGACCGAAAAGCCGCACCCACCATAAAATTATAACCTCGATCTAGGTGTCACTAACAAGTTCATGGTTGATGATCGTAAATTCCTAGATGGCTTGTAAGTTTGCAACAAATCACTAATATAGCCAGGACCTAAATCATTTAAAGATTTAAAGGTCAACAGTAGGATTTTAAAAGCAATCCTCTACTCCACAGGAAGCCAGTGTAGTTCTCTCAGTAAAAGAGCAATACGGTCATATTAAAAACCACATAAGATTAGACGCACCGCACAGTTCTGAACTAACTGAAGTCTATAAATCAAGTATTTCGGGTCCATATGAAAGAGAGTTACAGTTGTCCAATTTACATATTCACGAAGGCATGCACTAACATTTTGGTGCTCTCAGCTGACAACAACTTCCTGATACGAGAAATATTACAAATGTGAAAAAAGGCGGATTTAAAAATGGCAGCCACTTAAAGTTTCATAATCAAATTATTGTCAAAAATAGCACCTATGTTGCTGGCAGAGTGAGAGGGAGTTATAACTGAACCATCAACGGCTGTGAAAGAGACTGGAATTGCAGCCAGAGTCCTTCACATCCATTCTTCCTGACATCACAAACGAAGCCCGCGAAACTTGCATATACTTTCCTTTCCTTTCCTTCGTAGGTATCACCTAATGTTTCTCTGCTTCTTTTCCTCCTCAGCTAAGCTGAAAGTCGAGGTGACTCCAGTAAACAGCTATGCGATGGAGTATTCCTCACTCAAAATAACCTGCACTGCTTATGATGAGGCCAATGTAGAGGTGCCAGAAAGCATCCAATTTATTGAATTAGATGAATACTCGAATAGGAAGATTTTTAACGATAAGTACAGCAACCTCAACTTTACAACAACACGAGAAGGTAAGAAACCTCGAAAAATTTGTAAACTATGCTTAAACTGGGAGAAATCTCAGTTTATCAGGACAATTCAACCATAGGTTACTAAGAAGAACAGGGTTTTCTACTTCTCAGTTACCCTTGAATTGGAAATATAAATCATAGACGTTTGGTATTATTTGGTCCTTACATTTGCTTCAGGAAACTGAACAAGTTTAGTTTTTTAACTGTTCAAACTGCCACAGTTTTATTAAAAAAATGATGCCTACCACATTCTACCCCCACATTCATCTATAAATTATATATATATATAACTTATTTTGATGTTGATTGTAATAAAAGAAGGGCTCATGAAAAGTTTCATGTCTCAGCACCTTTTTCTTTATTTGCAGACAATGGTCGCAAGCTCATAGTTACCATGACAATCTTCAACGTCACAGAACAGTACGAGTTAGGAAGATATAAAAGTTACCTATGCCTCGCATACGCAGTGAACATTAGTAAACTCGCACATTTTGCCTTCCATATTTATGTAATTCGAGGTATGTTCTTTAATAAACAGCTAGATAAAGTGATTTTCAAATTTAAGTGAAAGAGGTACGTACTTGTAACTGTTTCTATAACCCCCGGCCAAAATAGCACCTGATAAAGATATTTGACTACGCATGCAGGACATTTACTCAAGCAACAAATTGATGCGTCACCGAGGATAAATCGCACTTACCTCTCTACCTCGAGCTTTAAGTAATTTCCTTGCAAGTTAATTTTTCGTCAGTTACCATCAGCTGACTTGATGTCTATGTTATCTCCGATTATTTTCCGTTTCGATAGAAAGGACAAGTTAGCGAGGTTCTGCTGTAAATAATTCCGTATGCATTTAGCGATCAGTTATAATAACTTCACCCACTGTATGTAGTGGTGACTGGGCTTAGATATAATTAGTTATAATAACTTCACCCACTTTATGAAGTGATGAGTGGGCTTAGATATAATTAGCTATAATAACTTCACCCTCTGTATAGTGGTGAGTGAGTTTAGAAATAATGAGTTATAATAACTTCACCCTCTGTATAGTGGTGAGTGAGCTTAGAAATAATGAGCTATAATAACTTCACTCTATGTAGTGGTGAGTGAACTTAGAAATTAAAGAGAGCTGTTGCTCGTTATCACGATAATCAGAGAAATTAATCATACTCCATGTAAAGGTTATAAATATGACGCCGGTTGTATTGGTATTAGAACAATTTCCATCAAGTCAAAAGTGATCCTATATTTTTTTGCTTCACTATGCTTTGCGATTGGTCTATAAAATTCATGCCACCCTTGCAGCCAATCAGATGCAAAACCTAAAACCACTCACGACTTAGCCACCTGCGTGTTCCCGCGCCGCAAACAGCTCGCTTGTTTAAACATAAAGCGCTCATTGGCTCATTGTGATATCGTTCTTCGGCGGCTGATTGGCCGTTGAGATTTTCTTTAAACAGTACTCAGGCAGTAAGAGCTCCATTGTTCGTTTTCTTTCAGAAAGTGACATACCCAAAGTGACTGTCTCTAAATTGACAGTGGATCATTCCGTTTCCGCGACGATTTTTTGCAACATAACATTTAGGGGAAGCCAAACCACAACACTGAAAAGCTTGTGGTTGTCCAAAGACAGCAAAAACCTGACTGATACTTTAGTAGAGGACGGTATTTCAGAATCCACTTCGATGGTTCTCGAAGATATTAGCATAAAAGATGGAGGGATGTATTCTTGCAACCTGAAAGTCCTCCTTAAAGGCAAGGTGCCTCACGAAGTGAAAGAAACCACCTCGCTCACAAATAAGTGCTTCGTTAGCTACTATGTTACGTACGGATTTATTTCATCATCATCCTTCACCGGGCAATACTTTCATTTACATCCTTCTATTGTGCAGTGGCTTCATTTGCCTGAATCCCCATACCCCCCGAAAAACGGCAACCTAAGTTAAATTAGCTCCAAGGAAAGAGCTTTTTCAACTTCCTTGTTGTTCTTGTTATTATTATTTTCATAATTACTATTATTATTATTATTATTATTATTATTGTTATTATCACTATCATCAGTGATATAATTGTTATCCCTAGTTATTGTATTTAGTTGTAATATCGTTGGTGTCAGTGGCAGTAGTTAGTATTATCGGTATTGCCAGTAGCATTATCATTTTCATCAGCATTATTATTATCATTATTGTTGTTTTTATGATCATTATGATCATTGTTCCAGTTAAACCGTGGTTTGAAAGTAAAGATGGAAAAACTGTCGCGAAGAAGTTGGGAGACGACTTAACTTTAGAGTGCGGTGCCAGAGGATACCCTCTGAAGGTGGAATGGAAGTTTAAGAGTGAGACAGACGAAACAGTTAAGACTTGTATAGGTAAGTTTGAATTGGACATAATTCGAAAAAACTTTTATTGTTTGTCAGTCAGTGGTTTGGTTCCTTCTCTGCATTCAATCAGTCGGTGGGCGGGTCATATTATTTGCTCAGCTGTCTATCAACCATTCTGTCAGTCACCCTGCCAGACAGTCATTCAGTTCAGTCAGTCAGTCAGTCAGCCAGTCAGTTAGTAAGTCAGTCAGTCAGTCAGTTAGGTAGTAAGTCAGTCAGTCAGTCGGTTAGTCAGCCAGTCCGCCTTTACGTCACTCTATCATTCCCTCTGTCAGCAAGGCAGCATTTTGTCCGTCATCCAGTTTGGTTACTTAGTTAGTCATTTAGTTATTCGGTCGGTTAGTCATTCAGTCCGTAAGATCATTCATCAGTCTTAGTTTACTAAGTCCGTCAGGTAGATCAACTGTTATGCTGATGCTCAGCCAGCCAGTCAGTCAACTTGTTATATAGCTACCATCCGTTATCAATCAGCCAAAAGACGGTAAGTGTATCGATGCTATTTGCAACCGGTTAAGTGCACTATTCTCAAATCTTTATAAATGTTTATATTTTAGATTCTTCAATGGATGAGCGTTACAAGGTAAGCCAGAAGGGACCTTACGATCCCTATTCCTTGACCATCACAAGCTTGAGCAAAGCTGACCTTGGAGTTTATTACTGCTGTCTGTCATCAGGCTGCTCTAAGAACATTAACGAGGAGCAGTGTCAAAGCTTTGACATCGATCAAAAAAGTAAGTATCTTTAGTGAGATCAAGGTTTGGGCTAGTGCATAGGTACATTTCGAAGAAAAATGTCTAAAACACCTTCGAAGTACATAATTTTCTTGCAAAACAATCCTTATTATTACCTAAAGGAGATTTTCGTATCAATGGAAGAGAATTGTACATGCATAGAGTAATCTATCACTGCTCTTATGAAGAGAACTCAAGAAACATATCATCTCGTTGCCTCGAATCCAGCTTGAGACGGTGAGCATCTTTGTAGTTTTGTAATTGAACCAATTGCGTCTAAAAAAAACTGGATTTTAGGCTGCTTCACGAATATGTTTGTTCAGTAGGTAAAGAATCGGTCTGCTAATAGCTTTCAACGACAATCCTTAGTTTCCTGTCTGCTCGAGGCTTAACCTTTTAACTCCCATGAGTGACTAAGACATAATTTCTCCTTACAATATCAATACAATATCAAGCAGATAAGTGATGAGAATAAAGAAAAGTATCAATTTGGGGATAATCAGTTAATCCAATACTAAATTCGCTGAACTAACACAATAAGAATTGTATGGTTGACAGTAAAGAGAATTACAAATTTGATCTGGGAGGTAAAGGGTTAACGAGAGCAGATCGCTGAAAGACCTCTCAAATATCATTGAAATTACGCTTGTAAAAATTTTAACATAACAGAGAAAATCTGTCAACCGTCATTGAATCTCATTTTATATATTTTAACATTTTTAAATTTTCACTCTTTTATTCCAAAGGAGAACAAACTGCCGGAACAATGTCTGTGGTTGCCCATAACGTGTTCCTCAGTGATATTTATTTTTAGATTTAGCCATCTATTGCCTGTTTTCCAATTCTTTTTTCTTTATGTGATTTTTCCCTCGATAGAATGCCCCTCTCTGGCTGCTGGCATAGAGAATGGTTATAAACACGGCCGTGGGTCCGTGGAAGGCTCCTTGGTCTGGTTTAGCTGTGCTAATGGTTATTCTCTTGAAGGAAACAAATACCTCTATTGTGATGAAAATGGTCAATGGAATGGTACAACACCTTCTTGTCTAAAAGGTAAATTAAGTATGTTTTTTTTCAGATTCAAATTTGACGACGACATGCTCAAAAGATAAACCATGACTTTTAAGAATAACTGTTAAGGCAGCCGATATCACTTCTCTATTACTGTTAAAATTACTTACCTGCACATGAGTTAATACGCTTACCGAAGAACATTAATATGTCAGAAAGCTGTACGCTAACACAGCTACACATTCTTTTTCAAAGATTGTCCTCAAATGAACCGCACTCTAGAAAACGGGCACATTGATGGTAATGGATCCACATCAGGTGCAGTGTATAGCTTTCTTTGCGATGAAGGGTACAGCATAGATGGAGAAACCTCGCTGCGCTATGAAAAGGGACTATGGAATGGTAGCAGTGTACTGCTTAGTTACCTTTTGTAACAGCCGACCTGTTATGCATTAATGCTTTGTTATAATCGCCACCTAATCGAGTTGTGTCTCACAAAAATATAGCAATTAGTAGAAGCAGCTGTAGTAACAGAGGAAATAGTGGCATTAACAGTTAACAGTTCTTTTGGTATCGGTAGTGATGGATGTTTTGCCGGTTGTGAAAGAGGTAATGCTCTTGTTAGTACGAGGATAGTTAGCGATATTAAAGTTCTCTGTGTTCGTGGTACAGGTGTGGTGGTGATAATTATTGCTTGACTGCGGTAGCAGCGGTGATATTGGCAACCATGGCGATTGTGTAGTTTTGATAGTTTTGATGCCAATTGAGATCATTTTAATGCGAGTGGTGGGTGTTGTGTCATCTTGTTGCGAGTGCGTGAACTAATAGCAGTGGCGACAATGGTTCAAGCGTAAATAAAAATACCTCTGAAAGTCTTTCATGTGTACTTCCCCCTCACTGAACAACTTTCAATCTACCCCAGCTCGTACAGATAAAGAGGAAAGGGATACAAACGGCTGGTACCTTTACGTCCTAATTGGTGCTGCAATCCTGATTCTGATAATCGCTATTGGCCTGTTGGTAATTTGTTGTCTACGGATGTCAGGTAAAAAAGATACAGCAACCGCGAAGGGTGATGGAGAGGCAGAACTGGAAGCTATTATTAAACCTTAAGTACCTGTGGATAATAAAGACGAATGTAACACTGCGGATTTCAGAGTGTCATGTCTTTGATGTAACTCTTATAAGATCCCTCTTTAAACGCTTGAATATTCCCGTCGTAACTTAACGCGACATGAAGAGATCCTTCCTTAGTATTTCACTCAATATTTGAAATGTCTGTTAAGTTAACTTTTTAAGTGGCGACCTTAACTTAAAGAGATATATTAATAAAAATCCACACAGAGTGATAAGTTCCATCGACTTACCGTCTTGAAGTAATCCACTTTGAAAAATGGATCTCCACACCCAGAAACGTTGACAGAGAGTCGAGCTTCATTGTTTAGGAGAAAATTGTACGTGCTTGTTGTAATGTATAGAAATTCCCTTATTCATTGTCTTCATTTAAATTTTCATCGTTTTACGAATGTTTGCTTTCGAAAACAACAATTTTGAGGCTAATATGAGGCGGAATTTAAGCTGTTTTGATTTATAGATTTCATAAAGTATAGTAATTTTTAATTTGACTGTTACATATTTTAAATCAGCGCTCGATTAGGCGCAATTTTAATTAAAAAACGGCGATTTTTTGAAGGTTTGAAAAAAAAATTCAACTTCTTGAAAACAAAGCGAATAGTCTCAAAGGTAATCCATTGTTTGCGCTATTGTTTTCTTCTAACAAAGGACTGTATGCATAATAAAGTATGGGGCTGTGCGGAAACTTTGCCCAAACAGGTTACAGAAATGGTTCACGAATTGTAAACTAATAATGTGTTAACAAAACTCCCCAAAATTATGGTGCCGATACTAATTTATCGTTCATAATCACTTACGCACTCTATAAAACTGCTCTCGAATTCGAAAACTGTAAACAAGAATTATTTACGCTAACCATGTGCTTACCAGCGTGCTTGTGAGCTCATATCGCCAGGAACCCGTTTAATTACACGATTACAGCTCGGACACGTCTTGCAAAATGTGATGGCTATCAATTTCAGATATTGATCCTTCAGTTTCCAGCATTGGGGAAAAATTATCGTATCGCAGGCATGTTCATTATAACCCGAGCATTAAATTAAGTATGCCTCGAGATGTTGAGCGAATAGAAATTAGCTCCATGTTTTTTGAGACAAACTATTTCTTCAAGTTTGAACGAATCGAGTACAAAGCATAAAAACATAGCGCTGAAAAGTACCATGACCAAACAATGACATTCCCTCCTCCTGCTGCAGGATTAAAACCATTTTACTCTTGAGTTTGTTTGCTCCTCACATTTGCGCTCGGTAATTTGATTCTCAGATGGTTAACGGATTCTCACATGACAATATTTTCAAAATCAAATTACCGCGTCAGACTTAATGTAAACATGAACATCGCTGACGACACAATCTCATTATAATTCAATTTTGGAAAAGGCTGTTACTTCGTTCTTAGGGTAAAACAACAAACCTTCCATAAAGCGTGATTTTTTTAAATGAATAATGTAAACCTTGCGATAGCCAATGCAACTAAAGAGAGAATGACAGAAACTTGCTCACGCCGTTCGTTGTCATTTTAAAACTTTCTAGGAGTTTCTAAGGAGTGGTTACTCTCGTCTAAACAGTTCCTGGGAGAAATTTCGGTCATCGCGAGCCGCAATTAAAACTCTTGTACCATTTTTCCGTTATACGCTACCCTAGCATTGCATTCATCTGCCTTCTTCTTATTTAACAGGATCTCTCACCATATCACCCCGTTTATGTTAGGAGGTACAAACGTGAAAATGAGTGGACCTTGCTTCATTGCAAATGAGAACATTGTGGTGCAACTCGACAATGACGTCAACATTAATGCAACTTTTAGCGAAAAACTAACGTCATCAGTTACCATACTAGTGTTGAACAAGACAGGACGGCTGTCATTCAGGTATTTGGTCATAAAGGTATACACATCAGGGATTTTATCGACTACAGTCTTTCAAATTGTCCGTTGAGCTCACTTTTGTCATCAATAAAAAAGTGTAAATTTAAGGAAAAATTAAAAAGAGGGAGCACGAATTTTATTTTTTTTAGACGAACGATTTAACGTCTACGTCTTTGTTCGACAACCAAGCTCAAAAGCTCAAGTTCTCATCAACGAGCCATGTCTGGCTCAAATAGTTCCGGGTGTGGTAGAATATCTGATCGCAAAATGGAACCTCGGTGAGGTTCGAATCTTCACAAGGCCCTCAGATTTTTACAAGATATTTGCGAGGCAATATGCACCATTGGCTTTGTTCAAGTTTCCGGGTCATTCAATTTCTTCCTTTTCTAAAAGGAACATAAAAAATATTATCTCTTTTGTTCTAGTTCCCATAAATCGATACACTCCCGAGTTCCAGCGAGAGGACGGTTATACGTGGCAGGTGGATTCCACGGTGGACATTAGTTGGGATTCGGTAAGCATCGGAGGACTAGACGAGGAAGTATCGATTGATTTGGCTCGCTATGAAATGGGACATGACGATGTCCCCCGTACTGGACAGCTTCCGCGAAGTAGTAAACAATCAACTTAATTCTGGACATAGTCAGTTTACTGTCACAAAAAGGGAGGGAGACGGGTGAAGGTGATTCTTTTAGCAGTAATGTGCGGGAAAGAAAAAAAAAAGAAAAAAAAAATGAAAACAGTTCCTAAATATCTTTCGGTTGTTTTTTTAAAAAATCCATTGGTGGGGGAAAGACTATTCGAATGGAGCGCACGTTCTGTCAATTAAGAATTGAACACAATTCAGTTGTTACGTCATTTGCAATTCATTGTTCGTTTTTTTCAGCGAGTTTTAATTAAAACTGCATGTTTTGTGTCAGAAAGAAAAGTGTTCTGTTTCGGTAGTCACAACTAAACTGGTTTGAACAACAACTGGCGGCAAAATGGAAATATATCCGAGTAAAGTGCCTGGTAAAGAAGAAAGTGTTTATGAAAAAGTTGTAAGACAATTCCGCGAACTCGAGAAGAATGCTGACAAGTACTTTGACAACTTGGACGCTGTCGAAGAAATGTGTTACAAAGCCAAGAAAGACGTGCAAAGATTTCGGCTGAAAGCTGAGGCTGACAAAGAACTATTGAAGAGAGATGCTGCCGTGAGGGCCAAATTGTATTCGTCGGTCCTGGCGATGAAAGTTCGTCCTATCAGAGAAGAGCCGAGATGCTCAAGTGAGGAAAAGATGCCTGAAGCAGCTGAGAATGCACAGCGGCTAACTGTCACTGGTCGAGTGTGTCGCTATGTCAAGATTGGATGTGCTTTGGTGTTTGACGCAGTAGCTGCATACGGTCTATTCAGACTTGCTCAGCCATACTTTTTTTAAATCACTGCGCTGGGCCCTTAAAAAAAGATGGGCCCATCACTCGGTAAGGGAACAAAAAGCCTACGAGCGGTCCCCCTTTCTGCGAACTCCGTCGCGCGAGTAAAAAGAAAGGAGGAGGATCCATGTTTTTTACTCCTTATCAAAAAAATTCAGGCCCTTGATGTCAAAAGATATTCGAGGCAATGATTGGTTTGGGTGTTTTTTCACAAAGCTAATCCTCTCGTTTCACTATTATTTTCTAGGAGCATTGATGATCGTTTTATCAATCTTGTTCGAGTGTCAAAAAAAAAAAACAGCTACAGCAACTTATCTAAGTCTCAGTGGGTGTGGAGTGAGGTGTTTTCTTGAAAGAATGCGCCGTGTGCAGAAAGGAGATGTAAATGGCATCAGAAGGAACCTAATCCAGACACATTAAGAGGTATTTATTAGAGACTGACCTAAATTCCATATGTCTTCGGGAAGGTACAGATTAACGTGTTGTTATTGGAAAATAACATACAGTTGTTGCGTTATCGCGTTTAGGACTGATCTATCGCTGCGTCTTAAAGGGAATGAATTTTACGTCTCAAAGTGCGGATTCAAACGGTAGAGCCCCACAAATTCAAATTTGGTTATCGCTGAAGTTAACTCGAATAAGCAGGAAAGAGAGGCTAATCAATGTAAAGTTGAAGCACGAAAGATAAGTTTGCCTCGATTTCATTTACTGGACCCATTTTGTTTTGTTTTCGTCCGAATAAGCCATTCACGTTCAACGGATATGGGGAATACTTTATTTTAAAAGGGAAAGGGGTGTACTTCACTCTGCAGGGGCGCATGGAGCCTATATTAGCAGGCGATGGATCGCCCCCAAAAGCCATGGTATACACGGCATTTGCAGCCAAAGAAAATGGATCAGACGTTGTACAGGTCAGGAAAATATGGGGAATACAGAAATATTGATTATCTTATATCTGTGGCGGTGGGGCACACGGGAATTCAATGAACCAAAGTTTTGTGATGTTTTTATGATGCAGCCACATCCGAACTGCAAAACATGTGTTCCATTGCGTTACGAGGTCTGATGTTATGACAACAGCTAACACTAAGGCTGTTGGTTTTAGAGATGCAGGTAAAGATATTTTAAAAGTTACCCCCTTAGTTAAGCTTGCGCTCATATCCTTTATGGACGTAATTTACCAGAGCTACGTCAAGTTACATTGAGTCATTTTTTATTATGTAGAGAAGTAAACTTTCAGTTATAAAGACGGTTCAAAATCATGTTTGATGAGATAGAAAAAAAGACAAGTGAGTCAGTCAATTACAAATCAAGAAAGAGCAAGGATAGAGAAGGGCGAAGTGGACTGTAAATACCAGCTTTAAGAATTTAGATAACCCATGGTCTAATGAGCTCCTTCGAAGGAATGAATTTCCACATTATTTCCTCTTTCTTCAGAATGTCCTCGTCTTCCACCATTCTTCCAGGAATTTCCAGGAATACTATCGATAAGTCATTGTGTATGGAACTAGGTTTAGTTTTGGTGATACTGTTTGCTGGAACGGATGAGTCACCGAGTGATTCTTCTCTAAGTTTATCTAGAAGCGTCAAATGCTGCTGCAGATTTAATTCAATTATTGTTGCTTTAATCGTCACAGATTGTTCCAACCTTCCGTCGTCCATACCAAATGGAAAAGGAAACGGAACTGGTTCCGTAGAGGGTTCCAAGCATCACTTGCGATGATGGATGTTCACTGA